AAAAAATTTAAACAGTAATACAGATCTCATGTATTTCCCTTGAAGATACCAGAGCTTCAAGCCTGTCAGAATTCAAGAAGCATTTGGTCAATGCTCTCAGGCACATGGTGTCATCCATGGGATGTCCTATACAGGGTCAGGAGTTGGACTTGAGGATCCTTCCAACTTAGGGAACTCTATGATCCTATAGATACATACAGACTTTCACTGGAGGCCTATTAGGTAACTTTTACTTTGATAACACTTAGTAAGAGGTGGCCAGACGTTCACTATTCAGTATCTCCACTTTCAATCTGGATGAAATGTGTGAAGGGAAACAGTTCTTGTGAAGGAAAGTTACACAGAGCAATTTGTGAGTATATGACACTAGCAGAACTGAGCAGTGCAGAGAAAGAAAAGCATACCTGTCCACCAGACTCTCTGACTCCTGAAGAAAAGCCCTGGAAGAAATGAGAAACTTAATTACTTCTGTATTACTGAGTAACATTCTCACTTGTTCTCTGTGGCCTTCAAATTCATTTAAAGATAACACAAAAAATTGTCCTTTTAAACCATGGTATGTTGAAGAAACATTTCCATGCAGTGTCACAGGCCCCTGCATCATTTGCTCTGAAATACCAGACAGAATCATACTTGAAGCTATACCCTAAAGAAATGAAAAAGTATTTATATTTGTTGCACATTCTTCAACTTACAACCTGCCACAGAAAAACACACTTTTATTTGTTTTCCATGGATTTAAGTGCCACAGGGACATGAACATTTACTTTATAACCATACTGAAATCCACTGGCCTTTACAGCAGCTGCTGTTTAAACAGAATAATGAAGTTTGAATCAAAGTCAGCTTCAGGCAGGTGTGAGTAGTGCCGCTGCCCTGGACTGTATGCTCACAACAGACTTCTATGCTTTGCTTATGTGAGTGGGCTGGCACAGCAGAAAGTCAGATATTTGTCTATTCTGCCTGAACACTGTTTAATTGTAAGACACTTTAAAAAATGGTCTGATTTTCACCAAAAACAAAAAAAAGGTGAACAATGGAAAAAAAAAACCCATAAACAGAAAAACAATTCTCACCTGTCCTCCATAATGGCTGCTGCCTGGCAAAGATGGACCCTGTAGCAAAGGTGCCAATTATTTCTCAAATAAAAAGCTTCTTTAAGTGCTTTTTAAAGAATCTCTTTTTCCTCTGTTGCACAACAAAAATAAACAACCAGCCTATTGCTTTATGTGTCACTCCATTTTAGAGGCTATACCTCCAGGCAGCACTAGGAATTTTGTCATCTTTCATTTCACAGGGGCATGAAGAATCTTAGTAACGCCTCACCTTCTCCCCTCTTCCTATTTAAACCATGCTGCTTTTCAGATATCACTTCTGCTACTGCATTTTGCTGAAAGAAATGAGCTAGAGGAGGGATGAATCTGCTTCCAGCCGCTCCTAATTGCTAGAGCTAAGAAACCTTGACAGCAGCAGGGCAGGTTGAAGAGTAGAACAAAGTCAGAACTGCATTTAATACAGCAGAAGCCATGGTTTTTGTATTGCTTCAGATCATATATCTTTAGATGCCTATCTGTTATCAGATAAACAGAGTTTTCACAAAACATTTTTTCAGTCAATATAAAAATAACAAGTTTTGATGTAGAAACTGTGTGTTAGAATAAGAGCTACATAGGAGTAGATTCTCACCTGTCCTCCATACTGGCTGCCTCCTGAAGAAGGTGAACCCTGAACAAAAAAGAATTAAATTATCTTTATCATATGGAGTGCCCAGTTTCCTTCACTGCAGAACTCCAGGTGGACTGAACAAGACTATGCCAAAAGGGGTGAGGCTCATCTGCATTTGCCATGATGCATCAGAAATTCCATCTTAAGAACTCTTCTGTAGCTTGGTATCACATACATTTATAACCATTATATACGTAGCAACAAATTAGATAAAAAATGGATAGAAACCCCCAAACCAAACCCCAACCTCTTTAAAATGTTCTTTTAACTTTTTTTAACAGAGAGAACTACCAAATCTCTCTGATAAAATAGTAAACACTACAAGGGAAGAATATTCACCTGTCCACCATATTGGCTGCCTCCCGAACCCTGAAAATAAACAAAAAATGGAGACTGAAACCTTTTTACACTTATTTCATAGACTCATTGAATCATTTTGTGAGGATTTAAAAATTCTTGTTAGCTTTGTCAAGTACTGATTTACTTCAGAGAGACATGATATCTAGACCTGCAAATTTCAGGACTCAAATGAGTCAACCATGTATTTCACATTCTGTTTTATCTTAGTCTTAGATAATGATCTTCATTTGAACTTTTTTTTTTTTTTTTTAATTACAGTAGCATCAGAATACTTCAGAAAAGATTTACTGAAAATATTTTAAATTAAGGCTAAGATACAGTCAGTTAGGTGGACAGTAAATAAACTACAAAAATGGGACTATTAATGCTTACTTGTCCACCATACTGGCTGCCTCCATAAGAAGATGACTCCTGGGAAAGAAATGATAATCAGTTATTTCTGAACATCTAATTAATTAACAGAAACTAACTAATTAACTAATTAATGGAAAGAAGTGGCAAAGACGTCTATACTTTGTTATTTGAGTGTTGTGTGTAATTATCCCAGAATAAACTCTGTGTTTTTTTGTCTTCCTTGAATTCATAATATTGCTACAGAATACAGACCACTGTCAATTTTCTTGATATATTAAACTGAGATCCTTAATATGAGTCAACTATTTATAAAAAATAATATAAAATATTAAAAGGAAAAGCTTACATGTCCTCCATACTGGCTAGCTCCAGAGGAATATGAATCCTGTAAAGAATACCAGATAAGAGTTGGATTTCCTTAAATCAAAACATGACTCTGCCAGGACAACAGGAGCAAGAGAGCAAGGTAAGAGTGGAGATAGGTGAGCAGGACTTTGGAATGCTTTAATAACTAGAATTTGAGCAAAGTAAGTTAGGAAAATACCTGAGATCCTTAGCAAGGGTGGGAGACAAAGACATGGTGCTTTGTTTGTGTGACATGTTGGGAAGGTTAAAGTGGTACTTTTTCCAGTTCTTCCTCTGCTCATTTCTGGAGAGTGGCATTTTTTTTTTATTTGGAAAACGGAATGCTGGGCCAGACTTAGGGGTAAAATATGGGCTACCTAACAGGACTCTGAAAACCAAACTAGGAAAAAATACTGAAACCTCATACAACAAGGGATCTCTTTAAAGAGGGGAGATTGGATTTGTTTTTCTTCACAATGGAATCAGGTCCAATAGAAATATAAAATTATGCAATTTGATTTATTCTTTTCTCAGACATCTTTTTTGTGAGCTTCATTTTGCAAATTTTTCCAAAGCAAGGACAGTATTTCCTATAAATCCCATTGTTATAATTTTTAGTCCATATCTACCTCAATGATGAATTTAATTTACAGAGCTTTTGCTCTTTTTACCCAGTTCCCATATAAAAACTGAATTTGAGTGAATGGATTAACAATCATTTTCAGAACTGGCTCTCCTTTTGGAATGAATGCTTACTTGGCTGTTGTACTGGCTGCCTCCAGAGGAAGACGAGTCCTGGGGAAAAAAGCAAACAGAACCACCAATTATTTTACTCCATAAGAAACAAAACTTTTGTTCTTTTAAAGCAAAATTTCTTGAAATACAGTAGTACATAAATACTAATACTGAACTTTCTTGCAGTGAATTATCTAAGAGGTATACAATCACATAAATCCATGTCCTTTGGGGATATTTTTACATAATTCCAAGGATGCCAATGGAATTGACTCCCAAAGTAAATATCTATACTGTTATCTGCCAGTGTTTGTGGCAATATTTTTCACTGTAAGACTTCTCTTTGAATGAAAACTATTTCAAATGGAAAGAGAAACTGGGAGTGTTGCATGAATGCCTTGTGTGCATTTTTTTGTTACAATTAAAAGGAATGGCCTGTGTGTATTTTAAATTGCAACCAAAGTAGATTAGTTTCACAAGTGTATGACTTCTATTAGGTACTAACTCTTTTTATTCTCTCTAGCCATTATATTGATAAAACAAACAAAATTTTTTTAAAAAATCTTAAAAGCTGATGGACATTGCTTACATTTACAGAGGAATCACTTCTGACTAAAGTAGGGGATCCGCTCTATAAAGGAAAAAAAGAAAAGAAAAATTAGCTTTTGTCTTTGATCATAAACTATAAATGAAACAAAACCTTAGAATATTTATTCCATGGCATCCAAAGGAAGACTATCACAGCCTGAAATTAGTTACACTTACACTTCACTTACTTTTATCAATTTGTCAAGAGAGAAAGAAACTATTTCTGTTCCAGAAGACCATAAATCATGAAGTATCATATTGTATCTGCCTATAATTCATTGCCTAGGAAATAAGAGTATTACCCAAGGTGCAGGAATGTCCTTTACATGCTACATGTTGATTGACCACATATGATTTGCTTTGGAAAATGGGGATTACCCTATTTCATAGTCTTTAGGTAATTTTATATGGACTTAAAAGCACAAGTGAGAAGTCCCTCAGTTTTTGGTTTTGTTTGTTTTAAATTTTGTAAACATTGATTTTTTTATACAAATTTTTGTGATTGGCAATTTTGTTGACTGGATATTATTTTAGCTTTCTTTAATGATAGATCTTTTGTCAATTAATTCTGGTATTTAATTGACTTTTTGGTTTTTTTTGAGAAGAGATACACATTTCTGTAAATACTGTATGGCAATGGACATCACTGCTCAGAAATGCAACTCACTGCCAACTCCGGGGTTTCCTGTCTTTTATCAGAAATAATGTGGCCAGCAAGCAGCACTAGGGAAGTGATTGTCCCCCTATACCAAGGGGGGACTAATGAGGCTGCCACCTTGAGTCCTGTGTTCACTTTTGGGTCCCTCACTACAAGGTGGACATTGAGGTGTGGGATTGTGTCCAAAAATGGCAACGGGACTGGGGAAGGGTCTGTAGCACAAGGTTTGTGAGGTGCTGGAGGTGTTTGAGCCTGGACAAAAAGAGGCTCGGGGAACTTTATCACCCTCTACAACTCCCTAAAAGGAGGCTGTAGCCAGGTGGGGGCTGGTCCTCTCTTTCAAGTAACGAGCAATAGAACAAGAGGAAATTGCCTCAAGCTGCTCCAGGGGAGAATTAGATTATATTTTAGTATACAATTTCTTCGCTGAAAGGATTATCAAGCACTGGGATTGCAGGGGAAGGGGCTGAATCACCACCACCAGAGGTGTTTATAAGGCATGTACATGTGGCACTTAGGGGTATGGTTTAGTGGTGACCTTGGCAGTGCTGAGTTAATGGTTGGACTCGAGGCATTTTCCAACCTAAATGGTTCAATGATTCTGTAACACTGAATCTTGGCATAATGAGAAATAGCTCCTACCATATCAGAACCATCTAAGTCACCAAAGGAACAATGAATGTCAAATTAAGAGTACATTCAAATAAGTAAGTTGGAAATAAATAGGATTTCACATAATTTTCCAGTTAAATTGTTTAGTGAAAGAATATGTATAATGAACAAGTAGCACTTACAGAACTTCCCCCAGAACAATCACATCCACCCTGTAAAAATGCAGAAAGTATTTAAGATATCAAGAACACAGGACTGAAATGGATTTTAGTTACAACTCAAATCAATTCTACCATCCCAGGCATGCAAACCATAAAGCTACACTTTAACTGCCCAGTTTCTAGAACTGAGTCTATTTCATCTTATGCAACTATTTCTGCACTCTGATGGGGCAACAAAATGCTAATTATTTTGCCTTCAAGTTTTCTTACCTACAATTTTTACCTTAAAAACATTACCTATCAAAAGGATGAGTAAAAAATTCTGAGCAGCACCACAGAAAGACTTTTTTTTTCCTAAACAGGCCAGAGCACCAGGAGTACATGCAGTACTATTTCATGTTACAGATGATACAGAAAGCACATGATTTAATCTCTGATAAAACTAACTGTTGGTGGCCAGGAGTTCATTCAGTGTCTCACTTTCCACGTTAAATATGCATGAAATTTGTTTAGCACCAAAGCAAGTACAGAAGCTACAATACACATGTCAAACAGTTACTACTGGCTACTCTGGCTTGCAGGATGTCCAAATTGTTTCCAAAAGGAAACAATGCACTGCTGAGGCTTTGGGCACAAAGGACAGTGGTGAAGGAAAACAGTTCTTGTGAAGGAAAGATAAAAGAAGTAAATTTGAGTGCCTGACATGAGCCCAGCTGAAGACTGTGGAGAAAGAAATTCATACCTGTCCACCAGACTGGCTGCCTCCTGAGGAAGGTGAACCCTGTAAATGTTACATTCACATTTAAAAATTTTTCTTTGACACATGAATTTAAATACAAAATATTGCCTTTTATTCTTTTAACTAAGTTTGAAAAGATCTGTTTAGTTGAGAAAGTAATTTTATCTGTAGTAATTTTAATGAGGATAAAATAAATCACAGAGTAGTCTGGAAGCTTAGGTATTGCCAATTTACTAATATTTTCTTGAAACATATACACTGAGGGAAAAACCCATCACAATAACAACGAAGAAGAAGAAATTTCCCACCTGCCCCCCATACTGGCTGCTTCCAGATGAGGCTGAGTCCTGAAAAATATAAAAATCACTTACTCCATGTTTAACATATATTAATTAATGCCAAATATTTATTACTTTCATTTTTCCTGGTGTTAAAACATCAGTTAATACATTAAATGTATATTTGACTACTCCACTTGCATCTGGGCTTTTACATGGAGATTTGTAAGGAAAAATGAATCAACCTTGTTCACAGTTTAAAAATTGCTGTAATACCACATGAGGCCTCCAACTTTTCTGTGGCAGATACTTGAGGTCAAAAATACAAAGATTTAGTATTTACCTGTCCACTGGAGTAGCTACCACTTTGAGAAGATGACCCCTGAAAAAAGCAGACCCAATATTTTTTTGTTTGAAATGGCTTCTGGAGAACAAGACTGTTATACACATTAAATTTTTAATTTTTAAATTCAAACAGTTTGCAATTAGATTTCACAAGGCATGATACCAGATGTCATGACAAATTCCAAGAAAGAAACAGTTTGGTGTCATTTACTCACTGGGATAATTTTTAAATAGTACAGCCATTTTTGAAGGGAACTTCAAATAATAAATAAAATAGATGCTTACATGTCCACCTGACTGGCTGCCTCCTGGGGAATAAAAATCCTGGAAAAATGTATTGAAATTAAATGAAAAAACCAAACCCCAAAAACCGGAAAGATCAGAGTGGAAGAAAAACACTCCTCTTTCCTTCTCCACATTCCTTAATTTTCTGTCATGGACTGTTCAAGAAAAACAAAAAAAATCTGCTGTCTTTCTGTATAAAACAGCACACACCCTTTCATGACTATTGATAATTGCTCTTTTGGTGGTAGATATTCTCTAGGATACAGCAGCTGAAAGAATTCTATCTCTAACAAAATAATTTCTCAGTCTGTGTCATTAGAATAAACACAGCAGGTGCCATGTAAAAATGATAGGAAAATGGAAGCCTTCATAAGTAAGTCTTACAGCACAACAAAGCAAAGGGTTGCACTTATTCTAAGTGCTGGACAAATCATGGTATTGAAGCTCTTTGCAGTCAAGCAATGATTTTAAAAGAGCAAGGTCCTGAACAAGTAAATGGTGCTATCACATTTGTGATGTGAGTTTGAAATTCAAGAGCACACCTCAGCATCAGCTGGGGTTTCTAGCAGTACTTTAACTCTTTATCCATATCCTCATTCCTGCTGTTCTTGAGGGTTTTCTGTCTCACACTGGAACTGCCTCAGGGTTTCCACAGGAGATGTAATTAGGTGCTGCTGTTGCCAAGCACTGGGGCTGGCACCTGGCAATACCATAAAGGAAGGATTGCTTACCCGTTCACTCTGGCGGCTACCAGATGGTGAGGAGGAATCCTAAAAAATATCAAAATCTTATTATTGCCATGGCAAATATTACTATTCCTTTCTAAGCAAAGGTGGGAAGAAAAAGTTCCATAAACTGTTTATGGGAAGGCTGAAGATAAAGACTGTAGGATAAGAAGTCTACAAATTCTTTCTCTGCTCATTTCTGGAGAATGGCATTTCTTTATTTTGAAAGCTGAATCCTGATATAGTGAAATAAAGGAATGAGGTCCCATCTCTACTTTCTTTCCTTTAGAATGTTTCGGGGGAAAACATCAGCCTTTTAAAAGCTTTCTTGGTTTTTAAGACCAAGATGTGGTACACATCTGTTGTTACACCTTGGTTTCTTTCAGAGGGGTTTCTGGGCCCTCTGTAGTGTCATACTTTAGCTTTCTTGAATATCCATAAGATGATTTGGTATAGAGACAGCACTGAAGTTATCAACACAGTGTACTTGTGACCAAAGTGCACAGCTGAATTTAAAATTACTTGTGGAGAGCAATTTCCTACTAAAAAGGACCCTGGAAAACACTGGAATTGTCAAATTTTATAAACAGCTTCAGCAGAATTTAAGGAAATAAATTTTAGTCAGGAGACAAGGCATCTTCTTAAGAAAAGCAGATGTTTTTCACCACACTTCATGAAACCAGACCATTCCTATGCAATATATAGATGAAGGAATTTGAATATTTTATGTCTGGCATTGGGAAAAAAAATGAAATGTAGTGCTAATTGCTAATGAAAAGAGAGAAGTAGTCATGTACTAATACTGAGTTTTGATGGAAATTGTGAAATGAGAGCTTTCTTTGTAATTGCTGCTTGTAACATCCAATTCAAAAACTGATTGTTAGAAGTCAGAAGTGTTGTAACTGCAATTTTAATTTGTGAAGTCCTTATCATGTATAGCACAATCACGTGACATCAGATAAAGTGAAGGTCTGTGTAGGTACCTACATACTTTAAAAGGTAGTGAATTATGATATTGATATTGTTGAGAAAAAATGCTTACACTATATTCAGTTTCACTGGCTCCCATGGAAGCTGAATCCTGTAAAATAATGAAAAAACATAGATTTTCATGTAAAAAGGACTCTTACATGTTCTTAATTGTGGGGGATATAAAATAGAAGAATAAAACTAACTAAATGCTTAAAATGTCCAATTTTACCTAAACTAAGAAATATGCAAGAAAAGACAAAATATGTAACTTTACCTGTTGCTTAAGCAGAAGAGGCTGGAAAAAAACCCTCCTTGCAAACATGCATTTTTATAATGAAAAATGTTTACATTAAATTAATTTGCAAAGTTATCATTCTTTATATTCAAAAATCCCCTTATTTAAACTTTTAACAGTAAGGTGTGTAAAGTAAATGCACAAAATATTTTCCTTCTGAATGAACTAACACATGAACAATAAAGGAGTTAAAGCATTGAGTAATCACAAGGCAAAGTTAAAAAAGCATACATAGTGCCTCATGTTCTGTAAATTAAGGAAACATTTCGAGTTTTTACAAAGGTAAAGAGAGACAAAAGTTAAAATGGCATTTTCATTGTCCTGAAAAATAGCATAAAAATAACTGAAACATAGAACCCAGTACACATAATTACCAACACAGCAAGTATAAGCTTTTGATGTAGGAGGAAATAACATTTACCTGGCCATAAGTCTCAGAACCACTATAAGCAGAAGATCCACCCTGTTCAGAAAACAGAAATAATTTTCATATTGTAAAAAGGCTATTTTATATATATATATATATATACTTACTGTGGGGATCTTCTTAAAAAATTATTATTTACTTAGTTATCAGATTTGTTAAGCAACTCAGAGTTATTTCTCTGTAAAATACTAATGTTACATGTTTTTTAACTCAAATTCTTATTCCATTTTTGAAGAGATCTTCATCTTGCAGGTAATTTAAACCTAGCATTGTTGAGAATAAGCCTTAAAAGTTGGAGGCACCCTACCTTGTACTTCCCCATAAACTTTCAGGCTACCTAGTTAAAAGTATATACAAATTTACTCATTCCTCAAAGAAAAGATCACTTTCATTAGAATATAGTGAGAGAGAAAATACAGATATAACTCTATATTTACTTCACCCAGGGTATTGGCCCTCTGCAACATTTACACAAAGAGTAAAAAAAGAGTATTTACCTGACCATAGGATTCACTGCTGCCATCATAAGCAGAAGACCCTCCCTGCACAGAAAATAAAAAAAAAGCTGATTAATTTGATTCTCCCAAAAAAAGTGTTTTCCATCTTTTAACGACAGAATAGGTGTGAAATAAAAGAAGTCTGTTTTCTCTACAAACAAGAAAAAACACCTACCTGTCCATAAGATCCACCAGGATAGAAGGAAGGCCCTCCCTGCAGAGAAAACATAGAAATTTACTCTTTTGTAGTTGAATGTTCTCTCAAAGAACACTTCTAGGCTGCTCCTGTGCAGGCACAGTGACCCGAATATTTACCTGGTTACCAGAGTAAGAACTGTGGGAAGAACCTGGGCCACCCTGAAAGAAAAACACAGAGCAGCTATTTTCTTGCAGATGAGAGTTTAAATGCCTGCACACCAAGTTCTCCCTTCACTCTTTCTCCCAATTTAGAGCTAATTTTTATGTGCCTAAGTAAAACTCAAGACCATTGTTGACCAGGGGGATGGGGGTCTGTATTATCCTGGTGAGGGAGGAAGAACTACTACCTGTCCATAGGATCCTCCAGGATAGAAGAAAGGCCCTCCCTGTGCAGAAGACAGAATGGGTTACTGGTTGATATCTGGCTACTCCTTCAGGGGAGGTTTTAGATGGAGCTGCTGAATAGGGCATTTTATCTGAATGTTTACCTGGTTACCAGAATATGTGCTGTATGAAGAACCTGGGGATCCCTGAAATGAAAACACAGACTAGCTATTTTCTTGCAAACAGGGTGGTGTAAATACCAATGTATCCAAATCTCACTTTAGGCTAATACTGCTAAACAAAAAGGGTCTTTTTATCACTAATTTTTTAGTTAGATGAAAGGTCATTCCATGGAAGTTGTAATGAAAAAAGACTAATGAAATTTAGTCCTCTTATCTCACAGATTTCATGTTGTAAGGTACAGACAGCTGATACAATAATTAGGTGTTATGATAGACTCAACTTTTGTGTGTTATATATTTCACAGCAGCCACTACATGGGGAATATAGGAATGAAGATTAAAGAAGTCTGTTATTATCTACAAACAAGAAAATACACCTACCTGTCCATAAGATCCACCAGGATAGAAGGAAGGCCCTCCCTGCAGAGAAAACATAGAAATTTACTCTTTTGTAGTTGAATGTTCTCTCAAAGAACACTTCTAGGCTGCTCCTGTGCAGGCACAGTGACCCGAATATTTACCTGGTTACCAGAGTAAGAACTGTGGGAAGAACCTGGGCCACCCTGAAAGAAAAACACAGAGCAGCTATTTTCTTGCAGATGAGAGTTTAAATGCCTGCACCTCTGGTTCTCACTTTATCCTTTCTCCTAGTTTAGAGCTAATTTTTATGTGCCTAAGTAAAACTCAAGACTATTGTTTTTAAAGTGGAAGAAATCTTCTGGCAGCAATTTTCTTAGCCTCCTGAAACTTGAATACTGCAAAGAAACTGCAGAAACCATTCTGTACTGTTCTCTGTTGAGCTTCACACCACCAGGCTACATCAGAGTTAATTTAATTTTTCTGCTCTAAGGGATAACAGTCAAGACTTATTTTAGTATGTCATAGCACCCACAATATTAGGAGTAATGGAACTAGGAGGATGGGAGTCTGTATTATCCTGGTGAGGGAGGAAGAACTACTACCTGTCCATAGGATCCTCCAGGATAGATGAAAGGCCCTCCCTGTGCAGAAGACAGAATGGGTTACTGGTTGATATCTGGCTACTCCTTCAGGGGAGGTTTTAGATGGAGCTGCTGAATAGGGCATTTTATCTGAATGTTTACCTGGTTACCAGAATATGTGCTGTATGAAGAACCTGGGGATCCCTGAAATGAAAACACAGACTAGCTATTTTCTTGCAAACAGACTTTTACATAAATGAGTCCACTGTGAATTTCTTTATTCTTATTCTATTATTCTATATATAATATTTATATATTAATATTTACAATATATATAAAACTTTACAGCAAACATTAAAAAAGAATGCTGGTTTCATACTTTTTATAGAGATAAGGAAACCTGTAGCAGGTTCTGTTATTTCCTGTTCAGGTTAAAAGATCTGAATAGCACTAACATTTAGTTTTACTCTTTCTAATTGCAGAATCCTGTATCATACCTTGCAGACTTTGTATTTTCATAGATGATCATGATCTTTATGGTCTTTTTAAAAACTGCCAGAATACGGGACTTCGAAAGTGTAAAGAGTATTTAGGAGAGCATATTTTTCAGCTCACTGCTTAAAGGAGAAGACTATTTACCAGTTCTTAACACTCACTCTGTTATATATATAATTTTCTCCTTTGAAACCAGATGGTTTAAATATGTACAGCTCTGACTCCTAATTCATAATATTCTCCAAGTTTGAAGAGACTTTTGTGTAACTCCCGCCTTTTAAATCTAAAAGAAAGCTTTTTGCAAAAATTTTTCTCCTCTGCTGAAGTACCTTCAAGGAATCACAGAATCACAGAACAAACTGAGTTGGAAGGGACTCCAAAGGATAATCAGGTCAAACCCCTCATCCTGCGCAGGACATTCCCAAGAGTCACACCATGTGCCTGAGAGCATTGTCCAAACACTTACTGAACTGTCAGACTGGTGCTGTGACCACTTCCCTATGAAGCAGATGACTCTCTCTTTTATGTAAGATTGATTTAGTTTATTTAGACATATACATCTACCTATATCTTGCTTTTCTATTGTTATTAGAATGTAACCTATCATGGCCAATCTGTTTACATGCTACTGTTAGCACTGTAGCTACCATGTGTAGGAGGCCCTGGACAGAAAATTAAAATAAGACCACAAAAGCAAAGATCAAGTCTACATAATATACCAGAAATTAATTTGATCAGCTGATAAGATTGCAAATTGGAAAATAAGTCTCTTGTTTATCAAAGTTGACACATCTGCATTGAGAACTGGTTTTCTAATCTGTCCAATTTTGATGTCTTATTTTCTTCATGTTGAAAATTTTTGTTGATAGCAACTAAAAACACTCTCCTCAATCAAGCTGTGCTAGATTTCTGTTGAAAACATTTTTTGCAACAATTAAAGTGTGCAAAGAAAAATGTTTATTAGAATGAAAACACTTGCGTAAAAATCTCCACCTTTTTCCTTATAAATGGATTTTTTTATACAATCATGCAACAAATAAAAAGTTTTTTCCTTAATAAAGTTTCAGTATTATTTATTTTAATAGCCTAGTTTATGTTTTAAAGCATGTAGGCCATGATTGCTGCTTAGCCTCAATTAGATCAAAGAGGTAGTATTGTACCTGACCAAAATAGATGTTGCTATATTTTAAGTTAATGAAGTTAAGTTCAGAAAGCAGTAATTTCTCTATACAATTAGTTTGTTTAAATAGCTTGGGGGCTTTTACAGAAAGAATAATTCACAACATGTTTCTTGTTGAAATCCAAAACTGAAAAAATACTACACCATTCAAGTGGGTTTGGTTACATACAGCTTCAATAAAAGATTCAGAAGTATGTATCCTGGTACAAGACAGGTTACTTTGAAATCTAAGGTGGCTTTAAAAGCCAGAAGCCTGGTAAAGCTAGCCTATAATGCCCACATAAGCACATTTCTTGGCCTTTTTCCTGGTCCAGAGTAATTGCCTAAGAGAAAAGTTTATCCAGTGCAACTGACATTGAAATTTAAGTGATTCTCTTTAGGGGAAAGGACGGTTTAAATGCTTATTTAAGAGATTGTATTTTGAAATATTTATCATATTTTGATATTTTTAGTCACAGTATTTTATTGCATCAGTGAGAAGGACAAGGAAACTAAGATGGATACAATTAAGTACTGTGGTTACTACTAGGTATATTGACTGGTTTTTGAAAACAATTAATAGATGGCACACAATAGTCAAGTGACAGGGCATGTGGATCACCAAGCATAGTTACAGAAAATTAGTGATCAAATGGTAATTATGCAGCTAAGTGGAGCTCATTCTTTCATTTAATTGTATATACTTCTACCCATACTAAGGAAATCGTCATTAGTGTTAACCAAATGTCCATATTTACAAGGTGATTAATTCAAAATACTCCATTATGTAGAAGGAAGTATAAACACAGGAAAATAATTACCTGTCTATGACCGCTGCTTCCATCAGGACAAATGCAGCCACCCTACAAATTTTTTTAAAAAGAGGAAACAATTATTGCTTTGTGGAAATTTAAAATAAAATCTTATTTCAGATGCAAAACTGTTTAAGGGAAGAAAGTCTGTGGGACTGCAGAGGTGTGACCTTTGCTGTACCTAGAACAAGTGAGGGGACAGCACAGCTGTACAGTTAACCTTTGCTTTGGAAGCCAGTCTGATAGCTCATCTCTCAGTGGGATATCTCAATGGCAGATGCCTCAGCAAGAGAGAAGTTTCAGGTCAGGAGTATCCCATTGAGCTATCACCCGTAAAACACATTATATTGAAACAGTGCTAAAAAGTTATTTCAGACAGCCATTTCTGATAAATTTAATATGAATAGGGTCACTTCATTTACAAATTAATGGATAGCATCACCAATCTTCCAATGTAAAATTACTTAAATTCCTATTTCTGAATTTAATTAGTTTAATTACTTGGAAGCTATCTGAACAAGACTAGCTCAAAATAAAGAAAATCCTGACCTGATTACTTGATCCACTGGTTGCAATAAATGATCCACCCTGTGAAGGAAACAATTATGTTTTATTAAAGCATTTTATTAGAATCTAAAGTATAAAACTAAATAGTGAAAAACGCTATTACAAACTCTATTACTTCCCTGCACCAATTAACATAACCTTTTGAATTATTGTGAAAATATAGATTTGGATGAAACCTAATTAAGTGGCTTGATACAATTCACAGGGAATAGGCATTAGGGAAACTAATTAAAGAACCTTCCAGAGCTCACAGATCTGTCTGCAATATTGAATTAAACTTCAAACTCTCTGAGACAGAGGACTATGCTACTGTTAAATCTACTTAATACTGGGTGTAGCAGGATTTCAAACTCCTGGGAAGCTGTTGGGTACAAATCCAAGATAGTAAGAAAAGCAGAACAAGGTGCCACTCTGCATCAGTTAAACTTCACATTAATTCTCTAATATAAACACTGCTGCAGCAGTACATAATCCTACAGAATATGAAAGTTGGACCTACTTTTGTAACAGAAGTATGTAATCCCTAAGATGTACCTACTTACCAAATGCAAAATGAAACTATGTATGGCCATTACAATCAAGAATGCAAAAATGTTTATAAAATAATAATCTGAAACTATATAGTTCACGTTTTTCAAACTAATTTTACAGAATGTTATGCAAAGAAACACCTGCAATTCTTATCTGCTTAGTGGGGTGAAGGAATAGAAGAATCTGTGTATTGTAAGCCTAATATCACTGTTTACAACTGTGCAAAATTATAACATTATAGGGAAAATGCTGTCAAATCAAAACAGAATCCTTCAGCCCAGAAAAATTACTGGAATATAACTTTCAAAATGAAACATAATTTATCAGAAAACTCCTTGATATCATACAGTTGACACTAGATTACTACCTGCATGTCAGAGTGGCTGCTATTTGAAGAAGATGCATTCTGTAAAGAAACAAAAAAAATGACAGGTGTCTGTAAGGGTAATAAAATAAAATGCATAGTTCTATTAGGAAAAAAAGCTACCTAACCCTAAAGAGAATCAGTTCTTTTTTGTGGACACTAGATCCTTCTGCTTTGTAGGTAATACACAAGGAGCTATAAGCTTACTACTACCAGCAGTAGCTCAGAAAAAGGGACAGGAATAGTTTACCTGTACATCATAGGCTCTTCTGCTTAAAACATGTGATGTGTCCTGTTAAAAAACAATAACATTTACAATTAGAAGATGAAAATTCCATGATCAGTGATAGGGTTTTTTTCCCTTCCATATTATTTCTTTATAATATCTTTATAAGTGCTCCAGACCCATTATTGTATACATTGAGTAGGAAAGCATAATTATAAAATAAAGGCTATTTGCACATAGTTTTTATAGGCTACTGCTGAGTCTGACTTGCAACTATACAATACAGGTGTCTGTATCTCCTACACAACTAGTGAGCATAATAAATTAAGAAACACTATTATTTCTTACTTATTATTCTGTCTTCCTTCAGCTAAAATGTTGGCTGTTCTTGTTTGTACGATACTCATTTAATTTTAACTTAAGCTTGGACCAACTCTGTATATGCTTAATGAAGAACAGAAATTTGAGCTGCCCTATACTTCAAAGCATGATTTTCATGTATTTTTTTTTTTCATACAAATACCTCCTTTAAAGAGATTCATCCAAAGACCAAACACCCAAGTAATTTTATTTTACTTTTCCCTTATGTAGGAGGGTATTAACTACTATAAACCTGACTAGAGAAAAGATAGGTATAATTAAGACAGATTAGGTATAGCTGGGACTAAAATCCTACAAACAGGCAAAAAGTAGAAGAAAAAAAGTATTACTTACTCGGGCAACAACAACTTTCTTCTTTGTACAACCTGAACGCTGCAAAGGAGCCACAAGCCTGTTAGTGCTTTATAGCTGTAGTTGTCTACATTAAATATTTTAGCAAAAATCTACTACTTCACTGTCAAGGTGATGTTTGGAAAAAGCAAAAAAGGCAAATGTCTGGAGATTTCCTTTTATCAGCAGTAAGAGTATTTAAAAGCATATTCTTTTTCTGTTTTCAGTTTCTCTCTTCCAACAGAAGTTCCTGCTTAGGGGAGTCTCCCTCAGCTGTACCACTGTAGTTTAGTATACAATCGGTATAAGGATCCTTTCTCTCTCTCTCTCCTTTTTTGT